GGTTTCTCTTGCCTCTTGTTTGTATTTCAGTATTCTTACTAAGCCCTGGTCTTTTTACCAGCAGTGCTGAAAAGTGCTCACTTCCATTAAAAATCCGTTCCCTCCCCTCCTGCCTGCCCCCCCAGTAGAATTACACTCAGCTTTGTTAGGTAAGTTCTTCTTGGTTGTAAACTCCTTTGCCTTTGGAAAATCATGTTACAGCATCTCCCCTCATATATAGTAGAAGTGGTCAGGTTTGTATGCTTCTGATTCCTCTTCCTTGGTACTTGAACTGCTTCTTTCTGGATGCTTGTAGCATTTTTTCTTTGACATGGGAGTTGTGGATTTTGACTATGACTTTCCTGATATTCCTCCCTTCTCTCCCCAAACCAAGAGGTGGCTGGTGATTGGTGGATTCTTTTTTTTTTTTTTTTTTTGCTAGGCAGTGGTGTTAAGTGACTTGCCCAGGGTCACACAGCTGGTAAGCGTCAAGTGTCTGAGGTCAGATTTGAACTCAGGTCCTCCTGACTTCGGGGACAGTGCTCTATCCACTATACCACCTAGCTGCCCATGGGTGGATTCTTAGTCTGGATATGTGTGTGTGTGTGTGCGCGCGCGCATATGCGCCTATGCATATGTTGTGTTGTCTGTGTGATTTGAAATACAGTGTCCAGGCTTTTAAAAAAAATGTTTTGATTGGCTCTTAAATTATCTTTCTTTAACCTGTTTTCCAGGTTAGTTGTTTGATAGCAGATATTCTTACATTTTCTTCTATTTAAAAAATTTTTTTTTCTTAATACCTCTGTCTCAGTGAGTCAGTGATTTATGTTTGGTTTATTCTAGTTTTCAGGCAGTCTGTTATTTGGATAAGGTTTAACAATTTCTGTTCTAAGCTATTCTTCTTCCAGTCCTTTCTTCTAAAAATTTTTTTTTTCAACTCTTGTTTTATTTCTTCTAGGTTGTCATGTAGTCCTTGTGAAAAATCCATTTTTTTTCTTTGGTTTCTCTTTGTAGTTGTTACTCTTTCCTTTGGGGGGACTTTGAGATTTACAATAATTTTTTCATACTAGTCAGTGTCTTCAGTTTACTTCCGAATTGGTGCTTTGTGCTAGGGCCAGGTTTGACCCCCTCCTCTCAAAGCCCTGCTTTGTCTCTCCCTGGGTCCCCTGGTTTTCTGTGCTGACCTCTACCTTCCTGGGTCAGGCATCCCTGAGTCTTTGATGTTCCGAGTGCTGAATCTCCAGACGGTGTGAGGGGAGTCCTTGGAGTCCCTGTGTGTGGAATGTCATGGTCTGGTTAGTGCTGTACTGGGCTGGTCACTGCTTCCTCACAAGGCTTCCAAGGACATCACCCTTGGCTTTTCTGACTATGGTGGGCTTTCTTAGAGGAGCTATCACTTTTACTAGCCCTAGCCACAGAGCCACGGGCCACTCTTGTCTCTACTAACACTGAGAAGCTGTGAGCTTGTTTGCCTGCACCTGTACTGAGTTTGCTGTTGGCCCTCTTTCCTGTTGCTCATTGTCAGATTCTGGCTGAGGTGGGAGAAATCATTTTAGTCTGGTAGGATTTTCAAGTTTTTGCTAGAGTAGATATGTAGAAGCTGGGCAGTCTGCCTGCTGCCTTCAGGTAGCTGGTTGCTGGAAGTTGAACCAGTTCAGTTCTGCCAACAGTGTCTTACTCTGCCTCACTTTCAGTAGCACCCTCCAATGCTTACATTTTTTTCTTTTGTTATCTTTGCCAACCTGATGGGTATGAAGTAAAACTGAGAATTTAGAGTTGCATTTTTCTTAATTATTTTGAGGATTCTTTCTAATGGTGATTTGTAGTTTATATTCCTTCTTTAAAAAACTACCTGCCGGGGGGCAGCTAGGTGGCACAGTAGATAGAGCCCCAGCCCTGGAGTCAGGAGTACCTGAGTTCAAATCCCATCTCAGACCAGACACTTGCCACTTACTAGCTGTGTGACCCTGGGTAAGTCACTTTACCCCAATTGCCTTGCCAAAAAAAAAAAAAGAAAAGAAAAGAAAACTACCTGCCACATATTTTAATCCACTTTTTTGCTGATTGGTGAGAGCTCACTATATATAGTCATACCTTGCCGCCTCACTTCCTTTCTATCATGGTTCTCAGGCCTACCACTCATGCCACTACATCATCCTAACTGAACCTCTAGAGGGACCATTCTAATTAGTGTGATCTTACTTACATGTATCTAGCCCCAGATATCTGCCCTCATCAGCTTCATGTCATACTATTGCTTGTATTCCTCTCTCCCCCTCCTTCTTGTGCTGGGAGTAGTAATAAAATCAATTATTATTCTTGCTTCTGGAAAGGGCAAATCATATGAGTGCCTTGTGGATCCATTCACCATCCCCAAAACTTCATCCTTCCCTGGATACCACTCCACTATGTGTATTGTACCCCTGTTAGGATGTAAGTTTTTTGAGGGCAAGCATTGTCTTATTTTTTTTTTGTATCACTGCTCAGCACAGTGCTTCTGTCATATAATAAGTGCTTATTCATTCATTCATGCTTTAGAAATTGTTCTTGTTCTCAGATGTTTGTATCATCCCTCAAGGCCATCATCTGGGGAAGTGGCTCTTGTGGAGAAAAGGCCATTTCTACCAACTTCCCACCAACTACCACTCACAGGCAGGCAAGCCAGCCTGGCTGAAGTAGCAGAGCCCTCTAAGAGAGAGATAGGAGGCAACATGAGCTAGGCAAGTCCAATCAACAACACCTTCATCGCTGTATTCCCTCAGACCCTGATGGAAACAGTCCAGAGCTCTGAGCCCGAGAGTCTTGGGAACCTAAACCACCAGAACTATTTCTAGTCCAGCCATCATTGTGAGCAGAAATCATTGTGGAGAAAGGCTCCTTCCTTGTCATCACCAGCAACAACTGCTAACCAACTGTCACCATAATCAGATAAATACAGGAGCCCTGGGAGCAGCAGAACCCACCAGCATATTTGGTCTTGCTTTTAGACTAGTCCTCATTGTCATCATTTGGAGAAGAAACTCCTGTGGAGAAGGGGTCAGCTGTGTTAAACACCTGCCACTCAAACCAGCTTAACTGAAGTGGCAAAACACCTGGGGAGAGAATTAGACGGCAGTACGTGCCAGAAAAGTTAACCTTCCCCCCTTCCCCCATTCTACTACCTTGGCCCCTGTCATGTCCTTTCAGACCCTGATGGAGACAGCCCAGGATCCTAAACCCAAGAAAGTGCCTTGGGAGTGACACTCCCCTAGCCACTATCTTCAGAGAATGCATCATCTGTATGGAGATGCTCCTGTAGGTGCTGCAGCCATGGCTCCTGAAGACCCAGGAAGGGAAGTTCTTGTTACCAAAGTCCTTGGCACTGTCATATGGCTTAACATCAGAAACTGACAAAATTTTATCAGTGGATATGACATTAGTGAAGAGATATTAAGTTCTCCTCTGTTGGTGCACTCTAAGGACCTTTATATCTGATCTGCAGCCAAAACCTTCCTTATGTGTTGTCTCCCTCAGTAGAATGTGAGCTCCTTAAGGGCAAGGGCTATTATGCTTTTCTATTTGTGTCCCAGAGCTTAGCACTGTGATTTGCCCATAGCAAGCACTTAATAAATGCTTCATTTGTTCATTCGTTCATTAGTTCCTTATATGTTTTGTATATCAAACCTTTATTAGAGATATTTGAACTGAAGATATTTATTCCCAGTAAATATTGTCTTATTATTTTATCTATTGATTTTACTTATGCAAAAGTTTTTAAATTTAGTGAATAGAATTGTAGAATTGTCTGTTTTATGTGACCACCTTTATAAGGGCCACCTCTTCACAGGGGAACAAAGGAGGAGAATGGAAATGACGTAGAGGGTTTTTGAGGTGCGGGTGAGACAAAAGTGTTACTTCTTGCTGATGGTGTCAGTTTTCTTAGAGTTCTCAATCTTTTGCCAGGATGGAGAGTTATAATAAAGATAACAAAAATAAACACCATAGAAATATGAAACCGTGGAATTTATTGATTATTTGAATTTAGGGAGAGATCATCAAGATAATTCTTAAATATTGGGAAGTTCATTATCAGATATTGCTTTAGTGCTTTCATAAGGGCTCATGATATTGTAAAAATTAATACAGAAATAAGTGAGAACCTACTGAATAAAGCAGAAGGCAAAAAGAAAAAACGGATAGTTGTCATATTTTTTATTGTTGTTTGTGGAAATTCCTTTCCTTCTCTGGTTTCTCACTGTAACTCCATTTGGAATATAGAGGGAGAATGAGTAGAGAATTAGTTCAGCAAATTTTAACAGTCTGTTACTGTAGTAAGAGCTATGGGGATTAAAAGGAATATGGAATAGTATGCCTTCAAGATGCTTAACATCTCGAAAAGGAAAGGGAAAATTTTTTGGCATTTAGGAAGTAGGAAATAGAGGAAGATAAAGTGATATTTGAGAGGTTTTCCAAAGAATGTGAAATGAAGAGATACTTTAACAATGGGGATGGTTGAAATCATTAAAACTTTAGGCCTTTTGACTTTTTAACTTTGAGTTCGTGTTTGAAATGTAAATTTTCAAAGGTGGGAGTGTCTCTGAATTTTTAGTGATTTTCCTAAGCGTATGACATGCTAGTAGAGGATTTAAATAATCTGCAGTGGACCACCATATTCTTTAACAGCAAAACTTATTTTATTATCATAAAATGATGCCATTAGTTACTCAGAAAAATTAAATAATACTGTATTTGACTTTCAAAGTATTCTTCATCCTTTAAAGGTGAAAGAATGAGTAGACTCAGCTAATTCAAAGATATTGCTTTAACTTTTGAGTAATTGACATTCACAAAAAGGAAGAAAAAATAGATGTCTTAAAGCAATTTTGATAAAGTAATGGTAAAATATTTAAATTTACTATGTATGACTACACTCTATCACCTCTTCAGAAATCTTGAATTTGTTTTATTTCGTATGAACACATACAAAAAGAAGAATAAATAATTATTTTGTGTTTTGTTTTGTTTTGGTTTTTTTGTTACAGGCGGCTATTAAATCTAAGAAAGCTACAGATACCTATAAGCTGTATGTGGAAAAGTATGCAACAGCCAAATCTGATTTTGAACAGAAAATGACAGAAACGGCACAGGTTGGTGTTTATGAAATAAGGACATATTTTACTTAAAAAGAAAAAAACAGCAACTCCAGAATCTTCTTTACCCTTAGCAGAGAGAAGAGGGGCTTTGTTAGTTTATTGAAAACCTAATTTAGGGCCAGTTCTGCTAATCGTACAACTAATGGGAAAAGAAATTTAAGTTGTCAATGTACGAAGTTGAAACTGTGTTTTCATAGCTGTAGGGTCACACTGGTTCTTGCTAGAAAAAAAATCCCTAAGTATAAAAATTTTCCTTTTGTTCAACATAGGTTTCTCAGTCTCTGATTTAATTGATTTAGTGAACTCTCAATGAAGAAATTTCTTCTAACAGTGCACATTGTCACCTGCTTTCTAACTTCCAGTAAAGATTTTGGAGGAGGGAGGAAGGAAGAAAGGAAGAAAGCATTTAAGTGCCTATGTTTCTGAGGCACAGATTTAGTTGGTGTCGTGAACTCCCAGTGAGGAAGCTGCTTCTACCAATACAAATGAGCAACTACTTTGTAACTTAACAGTCTTAAAGAGGTCCCTGGAAGTAAGCATTTATTAAGCACGTACAATGTGCCAGGCACAGTGCTAGCACTTTACAAATATTCTTATTTGATTTTCACAACAACCTTGGGAAGTAGGTGTTATTATTATCCCCATTTTACAGTTGAGGAGACTGAGGCAAACAGGTTAAATGACTTGCCATGGGTCACATAGCAACAACTGCTAACCAACTGCTTGCCAGCAGTCCGATAAACACAGGAGCCCTAAGGGAGGCAGAACCATCAGCCCATTGTTGCAGCTTCTAAACCAGTCCCCTCACTGCCATCTAGAGAAAGAAGTATCACATTTGAGCTCAGGTCTTCATGACTATTGGTCTAGCACTTTATACACTGTACTGCCCAGCTGCCTTTAGATCAGCTACCTCCTGGAATAATAAGAGATTAAATAACTTGTTCATTCACTAAGCCAGTATATGTCAGAGGAGAGACTGGAACCCAGGATTTCTGAGTCAGAGGCCAACTCTTTATCCTTTATACCACAAAGATAAAAATATTACAGCACCCTTATTATTCTTAATGTTTTGCAGACTTTTGGACTTTTTTTGCAGTCTTAATGGATTTGAGACTTTTATGTGCTTTAAGAAATAAGAATTAGTTTATCTACTTTTCTAAAGACATATTTTGTACAGTTTCGAAAATAACCAGTTACCCAAATATGTTGTGAGTTCAAAAGGTTTTTTATTCATGTATCTGAACTACTCTGTGTAGTAAATTGAGTTTTTACTGCTGAAGACTTTTGAAAGCCTTTTTTGTAAAAGAATAGGAAATTTTCTTTTTTAAAGGAATTTATTTATTTTTAGTTTTCAACATTCACTTCCATAAGATTTTGAATTCCTGTTTTCTCCCCATCTCTCCCTTCCCCCCACCCTAAGATGGCATGTAAATTGATATGGGCTCAACATATACATTCACATTAAACCTATTTTCATATTAGTCATATTGTAAAGAAGAATTAGAACCAATGGGAGAAACCACGAAAAAGAAGAAACAAAAAATAAAGGGGGCAAATAATATGCTTCGATCTGCATTTAGACTCCATAGTTCTTTTTCTGGATGTGGACAGCATTTTAGATCATGAGTCTTTTGGAGTTGTCTTAGATCCTTGCTTTGTTAAGAAGAGATAAGTCTATCAAAGTTAGTCGTCACATAATGTGACTGTTACTGTGTACAATGTTCTTCTGGTTCTGCTCGCTTCTGCTCAGCATCAGTTCATGTAAGTCTTTCCAAGTTTTTCTGAAGTCTGCCTGCTCATCATTTCTTTTTTTTTTCTTTTTTCTTTTTGATGAGGCATTTGGGTTAAGTGACTTGCCCAGGGTCACACAGCTAGTAAGTGTCAAGTGTCTGAAGCCGAGTTTGAACTCAGGTCCTCCTGACTCCAAGGTGGGACCTCTATCCAAGGCCGGAGCTCTATCTACTGGGCCACCTAGCTGCCCCCTGCTCATCATTTCTTATAGCACAATAGTATTCCATTACACTCATATACCACAACTTGTTTAGCCATGCCCCATCTGATGGGTATTCCCTCAATTTCCAATTCTTTGCCACCACAAAAAGAGCTGCTGTAAATATGTTTGTATGTGTGGGTCCTTTTCCCATTTGTATGATCTCTTTGGGATACAGACCTAGAAGTGGTATTGCTGGGTTAAAGTGTTTGCACAGTTTTATAGCCCTTTGTGCATAGTTTCAAATTACTCTCCAAAATGGTTCTATCAGTTCACAGCTCCACCAACAATGCATTAGTGTTCCAATTTTCCCACATCTCCAGAAGAATAGGATTCAGGGGAAATACTTCTCCTCTTAGAGTCTGACATGATAGATGACAGACTAGGTGAAAAAGTATTATTTGCATATTTATTTATTTGAACTTACTTTAGAACCTTAAGCAAATGAACAAGTGCTTCCTCATGGATTTCATGCAATCAGTGATGGATATACATATAGCTCTATGTGATCCTATAGTAGCTTACATTTTTTCCTGCTTGACTAATTCAGCTAGTTTAAACATTGCTAATTTCTGAGTAACTCTCAGTGAAATTCTTATCAGCATATTAAAAAGCTTATATATCTCTAGCAAGTTAGCACAGAGCTTTTTCATATGAAATTTTTATTAAATAAGCATGTATTTGTGCATTTAATTAAAAAATCTAAATATACTTATCTGTGTAAAATTTCAACTTAGTCAGTTGTTGTAGCCTATTGATATAATTTTGCATTTTAATTCTGTCACCCAGAGTTTTGGTCATTCCTCCTAGATTTATGTCATCTTCAAATTTAATAATGCTACCTACTGTCTGCATCTTTATCTAGGTCACTGATAAAAAAAATTGAAAAAGATAGGACAAACTTTAGTACATCTCCCACAATCTCCCCTTAAATTAATTTCTTATCATTAATTAGTAGTGTTGGCACACAAATGTTCAGTTAATTATGAATCTACCTAACTTACTGTATTATAGCTATCATTTCTCTGTATTGTCAATAAAGATGTCATGAGAGATTTTGTCATACTTTTTGGACAGATTAAAATTCATACCTTTATTAAGTTTCTGCAGTGTACAGAATAGCACTGTCCTGGTGCTGGGAGAGAGACAAAGTTTAGATAAGATGTGGTTCCTGATTTCATGGACCATAAGCTTTTGTAGAGAATAAAGTACAAATACAAAGTATAACATAGAATATTACTGCTAATGACAAGCAAATTCTAGGGAGGATGGTTATTACTGATTAGGGGCATCAATCAAGGAAGCATTCATATAGAAGATAGCATTTTAATAAGATAAGCGTGCAGCCAGGATTAAAATAGGAGGAGAGGACATTCCAGCTTCAAGTAACATTATGAGCTGTCATGGCATGGAAAGCATCAGACATATTCAGAAAACAGAGTAGTTTATTTGGTTAAAGCTTAGAGTAAATGGAAGAGAATAGTGTGAAATAAGACTGAAAAGATAAGTGGACATCAGAATATAGAAGGCCTGAATTGATTTAAGACAAATGAGTTTGAATTTTTACCAGCATAGACAATAGAGAGCCACTCAAGATTTGATTTCTCTGCAGGGGAGTGATAAATGGCTGAATCTATGCTTAAATTATTCTGTATCAGGGGCATTCTCTTTATCAGCCTTCCTAGTAACTCTAAGGAAATACATTCTGTGTGGTCTAATTCTTAGTGATTCATCTTAATGATTGCTGTTTTCTTTTAAAGGTCTTTTCAAGTGATCTGTTTAATAATCTGTCCTAGAATTTTGCTGGGGAATTAGCATCAAATTTGCCATGTGGTAGTTCCTAGATTCCTCCTCTTTTTAGTTTTCTGAAAATTGAAAAGAAACGTTTTCCTATCTCTAGTTTTCTGCTACAGCTCTAATTTTTCATGACTTTATAAAGATTACTGACTATAAATGTGTAATCACATCTGCCAACTGTCTTCCATGACTTGTGTAATTCATCTTGGCTTTGAGATTAGAACTCCTAATACTATCTGTCTCATTAAGATAGAAAAAAATTTTTAATGAAAAAGTTGGGTAGATGACTTTGAACACAGCTATACATCTGAAAACTCTTGGCATTATTAGCTGGTTTTGTTATGTCCATTCTAATCAGTTATTTTTTAAAAATACATTTTCAAATTATAGTTTAGAGTATCTACAAGCATTTAGCTTGTGACCAATCAGCAAGAATTTATTAAGTATCTACTCTTTGTAAAATCCATTTGCTTATAAACATCTTGGCAGTAGTTTCTAATATTTTTTAGTTATTGATTATTAAATATTTACAAAGTAGATATGTTCAGTTAAAGTTACATTGAAGTAATTTTGAAATTTTATTACTGGCAAGACTATAATTTTTTTATATTTGCTGCACAGAAGTTTCAAGATATTGAAGAGACTCACCTCATTCATATAAAAGAGATTATAGAATCTTTGTCAAAGGCTATACAGGAAATTCACTTACAGATAGGCCAGGTAAGTTTCTTTTATATTAAACTTTTTTTTTAAAAGTGATGGATTTAACTTTATTGTTGTCATGTTCTAGGGTAGGTGGAGATACAATATGCCCTTCTGTGATTGAAGCCAGTGTATACCATAGATGAACTGTATCATTCAACTATTTCATAAGCTCTTACTGTTACCAAACTTTTTAATAGAATTAATGCTTTGAGATCATGTTCACTCACTGCTAATAAACCATCATTTATATTAAATCCTACCAATATGAGCATATGAACATAGGTAGTAGTAACACTACTCTGTTCCCTATATTTCTCTGCCTTTGTTTAGAAAAGAGTACTTTTCATAATGTTACTGTTTAATTTAGCAAATATAATTTCCCGCAAATATAATTTCCCATTAAAATGACTAAGAAGTGATCTGTTCAAGGAATTACACTGACTAAAGGTATTTTGCAGATCACCTTTGTTTAGTGTAAAAACCTGGCAACCATTCCCAACATGTAAAAAGAGTAGTATACTTTGGGATGTCTGTGACTAGTATGTGACTAATATAAAATTATCTTCTTATCCCTACATTAAACTTGTGCTTTAACAGCTAAGAGGAGTTGGCTACTCCAGGCAAAAATTGTTTTGTGTCAGAAGTGAATGAGATAAAAAATCCAGACTATGTTGACTTGGGTGCAAAACAGTAATATAGCCAAGAAAGAAGTTTACAAAGGATGTTAGATTAAAAAGAACAAATATGTATAGGTACATAATTTAAATATACCATTCATAGGTTTAGTGATATAATTACCAGTAAAGATGATTCACATTTTTTTTTTTACAATGAATTGTGCTCAACTGTCATATGTGTATGGAATATGTTAAATATCTGAAGTTTTAGGTTGTTATAGAAACAGGCTTCTAGGCTAGCAAATTTTAACCACATTGTTTTGAAATTTCAATAAACTTCAAGAGACTGTTGATCCTTAATTTTGTTTCCATTTATGGGGTGGGGGAAAGAAACAGATGCATTGACGGTCAATAGTAACCTTATCCTACCACTGGATTACATTGTGATAAGATGGAGAAGCCATTTTTGTTTTTCAAAATCCCAAATGGTCTGACAGCACCTATATTGGTATTGTCTGTTGTGAGGGTTGTCTGCCCTGAAACAGTTGGTGAGTTGTGAAGAAGTTGGAAAGAAGTTGTTGTCTTCTGTGAGACAAGTGATTCACTTGTCTGAATCTAAGCACCTGAGTTAATTTTCAGGCTATATAGATGATTGTATATTTTTTTTCAAGGCTCTTTTAGTCAGCATTGAGTCAAAGGAAAAATCTCATGTTGGTGCGAACTTGTCTTTATGGCAGTTGCTTCTGAATTAGAGTAGGAATTTTTCTGGGAAAAGAAAATCGTCTTTAATTGTACTTTTCTTTAGATACATGAAGAATTTATAAACAACATTGCAAACACCACGGTTGAAGGTTTAATACAGAAATTTGCTGAGTCAAAAGGCACTGGGAAGGAAAGACCTGGTAAGATTAAAAACTATTCAGTAGAACATTTTTTTTTAAACCTTTTAAAGACTTTTAGTCACATGTCGATGTAGCTGCCCCTAAATTCTCTTGTGCCGCTCTTGATTATAGTATAAATGTGATAAGCTTTATCTGAATGTTTGTGGTGTTATAAAAACTTCTCTGAGACAGGTATAAAATATCTGTAAAATCTTTTTTTAAACTTATTTTTCCTTTTATTTTTTTCCCCTCTAGCATGTTGAGCTCTTCTTAAACTAAGATTTTTTTTAGGGGCTAAAAATTTGATATAAATTAAAATGAATATTACAACAGAATAACTTGATAGTAGTTGCACTTTAATTATGGTAAGTGGGCTGCTTATAGCAACAGAAAACTATTTTAATGAATTAAAAATTTAAAGAGAGCATTTCAAACAGTATTTATAGTTTTAGGGTATATCTTATAATTGAGTAGTTTTTTTTTCTTTCTAGGGACTTCTTAATATTATTTTTTATAAATGTGCTGTTTTATATTTAATTAAATAAGACACATTCTTCCCACAATAAAAAATATGGTAAACATGTAAAGGAAGAGTTTTCAGGACTTTTCTTTACCACCTGTGGTTTACTTAGAAGACACCTATGTGACTCCACAACTGAAAAATCCAGGAACTATCGTAAATGTGATCTGAACAAGATGAAAGGGGATGAATATTCTCAGTAGCATTTCTCACAGTTTTTCATATGGAAGAGTAGGCATTAATGAGGATTGAAAAAGAATAAAATGGCAATAGAGAAGTTCTCAGTGGGCATTTACATGAAAGAAGAGAACACCATTTGCTAAATGCTGTTATATTCAATTCAGTTCAGCAAACATTTAGTATTGGCCAGTAAGTGGGGAGGAAAGGCAGCTGAGATCTATTATAAAGTAAAGGTAAGGGGGAAGTGCTTTCCTGGCATGGCAGACCTCCTGTATAAGGTGTAGAGTAGAAAATGAAGTGTGGTGTGTAGAGCAGGCCAATTTGACAGGATTGGAGAGTGTGAAAGAGAATAATATGAAATGAGATGGGAAAGGCAGATGGGATCCAGATTGTAAAGGGCTTTAAATGTAGGCTGAGGAGTTTGTATTTTATCCTAGGGAAAATTGAGAACCATTGAAGATTTCTGAGGAGGGGAAGTGAAATAGTCATATCTGAGTTTTAGGAATGTCAATTTGGCAACTGTGTTGAGGATAGATTGAGAGGGGAAAGATCAGTTACATAGACAGCTATTGTGTAGTGTTCCAGGTGAGAGGGGATAAGGGTCTGAACTAGGCTGTGTAAGTGGAAAGGAAAGGCTGGATTCAAAAGAAGTTGTGGAAGTAGGATTGACAAGACTAAATGGTTATGGAGGGAAAGAGGAAAGAATTACAGATGACTCTTAAGTTGGGAGCCTGGATGACTGGGAAGATAGTGCTGTCGGAAGAAATGGGAAGATCTGAATCAGGAAAAGGATATAGAAGAGTAGAGGGAGAAAGAATAGGGTGTTTCTGTACATACATATATGGGGTCTTGCACGAGCTCATAGACAACCAAATTTGGGGGAAGATGGTTATGAACACAACATTTGAGGATAGGACTAATTTTCACAGTGAGAGTTCAGAGTTTGAATGCACCAGGTCAGCTCAGGTGCCACCTCCCTTAAGAAATCTTTTCTGGTCTTTTCCTCTTACACCTCTGTTACTCGTGTTCTCTTGCTCTAATTACTTTGTGTTTTATTTACCTGCATACCTGTTAAACTTACTTGTTGCCCTCCCCTACTCTGGGAAAATAGCAGATCTTTGAGAATAGGGACTGTTTTATTTTTGTGTGTCTCCTGTGCTAACAGAGTTCTTTGTACATAATAGGTATTGAATAAATGTTATTTTGAATTGAACTTGTAGGGTAAAGTAAAGAGAGAGGTACAGATGAGTGAATGTCTTAGAACCAGGGATTTGAACTGACCAGTTAAATAGAAAACAGAATTAACATTAGTTTGCTGAACCCTAAACTGAACTGATCTCAAATATCATTACTTTGTAAAACTATGATCTTACCTGTGTTTTGTTTTTTTTTTTTTTTGAAGAACAACAAAAAAACCTTAATAAGGCAATTTGAACTAGAATGGAACTTGTATTTTTCCTAAATTATTGAACCGGAACAAAACTGGCACGTTAGACTAGTCTCTGAATCAAGCTTATATTTCATGAGGTTTGAAGCCTTGATCAGAGCAGGGATAGACAATCTATAGCAGTAGAGTTTGGTTTCCCTTTACCATGTCACACCCTATGTATCCTTTCTTTTCTTTCTCATTCCACTGCCCCCTGTGTTATCTCCCCCTCCTTCTTCCTTATTTTTCCTGCCTCTGCCTTAAGCCTTTGATAACCTTAAATATTATTTAGGCCTATTTAGAGGATTTAAGCATGAGAAATCCTTGGGCAGGGCTATTGTATGTTGTTTGTTTTTCAGCATATCGCATATCAGTGGCTAATTAACAGATATTCAGAAACAACTGTTCTTTTTGCACTTCATCATGTTGTTTCCCCTAAAAATTAAGGGAAAAATAAAGATATGTAGAATTAGTTACAAAAGAAAGTCTGAAATCATTTATAATTTATTAATATAACCAGTTGTTAATGTTTATTTATCAATATTTATTAATATAATATATTAATATAATTAAGTACCTGGCAAACAAGCTAATAAAATGATTTAGGCTAAAAAAAAGGAATATTATTTTAGTTCAGCTTGATGAATTTTTAAAAAGTATAGGTTAACAAATAGTTTACTAGCTCTAAATTTTGCAGTTACCTTTCAGAAACTTAAAAGGACACCATCTACTCTCTATTAGGTTGTTTTCATTATTTGGCTAGTATATATTGAAATATTCTTCTCCTATGGTTCATCATGATATCTAAAGAGTCGTTTTGTTGGAGGACTATGGGAATAGTTAACCATGTTTTAGTCATATGCTTGGAATTAAGAGCTGACCATTACTATTGTATTTCCTGCTCTCCTTTGTCAGTCTTAACTATAATTGTTACTGGGTGTTATTCACTATGTGTTCTCATATTCAAGAGAGAAAGATTGAGACATTTTAGCTCCTATCCCCTGACCCTCACTCTTACTTCCTTCCACATCTCCCTCCCCTGTTCATTTACTATAACTTTATAACAATTATAACTTTATTCATGGGTATTGTAGGGAAGGATGGGGCACAGAATTAATATCAAGTTCTCTTACATGAAGTATATTACCCGTGGGTTCAGTGTGGTCATGAACTAACATTTGAACCCTGTCTGCTTTGCAAGAGTGCCCTCTAGTGGAGAGTCTCTTCCCCAAAGGATTTTAATATAATCTTTGTCAATATACAGATTTTTTGAATAGAAAATTATTAAATGTGAGTTTGTATATGTTTAAAAATTAGTCTGTCTCTCTTTGTTTTGAAACATAACTACTCTCTTTTTAAAAAGAAATTTACTCTTTGATATATAAAATATTGATTATGAAGTAGTTTGGGAGAATTAAAAGTTTATTTTTCTCTGTTCTTAAAATCTGTTTATGTTCTACTTAGTGACTTTCTTATGGTTAATTTTTAAGTAAAATATTGCCCTATTTCTTTTTAACCTGGTCATTATAAAATCAGGCAGTGTTTTTTACTTTAACACATTTGCTAAAAAATTCTGTCATGACTAAACAGATGCATATGGTTCTGGTGTCATTTTGGAAAATTTATGTTTTTTGTCATGATAGATCTTGTTTTTATTTAAGAATTTTTTATTTTGAATTTAAGTACAAGAAAAGCATTTGCATATATATAATGGAACACCAAAAGAGGATTTAATATGAAACTCATTTGCTCTTTTTAAAAAAGAATATAATAAGTTTTATATGTTCCTTCCAAAATTGTCCTGTTTGTGCTTCCTTCTGAGTTTCATTCCGTTTTCTTGTGTGCATTTTTAAAAATGTTACAATGACCATATTTTGGGGTCATCCTTACAGCCAATATTCCCTTTTCCCTGACTCCCTACTGAATAAAACCAAGAAAAAGAAACAGAAGGAAACCTTCGTAGCAGTAAGTATAGTCAAGCAAAAAAATTCACATAATGGCAATTTTAAAAAATGTATGTTTTCTGCACATTGTGCCTATTACCTCTCTGTCAAGATGTGCTTCATCACAGATCCTGTGGTGACATGGTGGGTCATTGCATTGGTCAGAGTTATTAAAGTCTTTCAAAGTTGTTTTTCTGTTTAATTTATTCTGGTTTTCAGGGAGTCCATATTTTGGGTAGGGTTTACCACTTTTCTAAGTTACTTTTTATCCTTTTAATTCTTTCCTCTGGAGCTTTTATCTAATTTTCCTTTTGTTTCATTTCTTCTTATAATCCTTGTGGAACATCTGTTGTCATTATGGAGTTATTCAGGAACCCTTGGCCACTACTTTATGGCACTTCTGCAGCCTCCTGTGGCTTTCTCAGGGGAGCCCTCTACTCTTGCTACCTCCAGACAGAGAACCTACAGGCTAGACAGCAACTGGTGGCACAGTGAGTAGAGCACTGGCTGGTAATGGCCTAGAGTCAGGAAGACCCGAGTCCCTCTCTGGCTTCAGATACTTACTACCTGTGTGACCCTGGGCAAATCACTTAACCTCCTTGGCCTCAGTTTCCTCAACTGTTAAGTGGGGGGTAATAATAGCACTTAACCTCATAGGGTTGTTGTGAGGATAAAATGAGGTAATATTTGTAAAAAGTGCTTAGCACAGTGCCTAGCACATAGTAGGTACTATTTAAATGATTATTCCCTTCCTTTTCCTTCCCTTCCATGCTATAAGGTCCCTGGCATATCCAGTCACCACTGCTAGGCTACCCTGTGCTGGCATTGGCTTTGCTGGCAGCCTCCTTTCCTGTTGTTTTTTCATGATGACTTCTGTATGACCTTTTGTGAAGTCCTGGAGTAGAAGAAATCTCTTATTATATTTTCTTATTGGATTTCTTGATCATTATTT